TTGCAAGTCTCCAGTCTCTGTGTTCATGTTTGGGAGCCTCCTGATGATTCTGCAGGGGGTTGTTCCGATTTTTCAGGGCCTGCCTGGGACACCCATCCCTCCTGACCCTCTAGAGGTGATTTCACTTCAACCGTTACACCCATACCCCTGGGCTCCCCGACTTCCTTCCAGTTCAACATTTCTGTTTCTAACATTTCTCATTCCATCCTGGCTCCCCTCCTAGGCCAGTCTCTGAGGAACAGGCAAACCATTTCCTTTCCAAAAATCCTCCCTCCCTGCACACCTGACCTCACTCCCCCTTCTGGTCTCCCTCAAGCTCCCTCAGCTTCCCTCAGTGCAGCTCTCACAGCCTCCATCTCTCCCTCTCTTGCTGCTCTCTCCTCCTCTCAGCCTGCAAATATTCTCATCTCCCTTTGTCTAACAGCAGTAATGCTCCCTTCTTCTCTCGCGTTTCTTCCATCACCATGCATCTTTCTGAAAGGATAGTCCACCTGGGTCCTTTCCTAGTGTGTCCCCAGCCTTTGCTCTTTCATCCATGACCAGCCTGCAGCTGACACTTTCACATTAGGGCCTCCAACACTTTTTTAATTACCCAAACAAGTGACCCTTTATCTGTCATCATCTCACCACCCTCTTGGAGGTTGTATCCTCACTGACACATTTTCTTGCCCAGGTTTCCATAGCAGCACAATTTCCTTGGAGCTCTGTCTATCCCACCCATATTGTATCACTATACAACTCTGTTCTTGGAGCTTTTGCATTTTATATGGTCTCAGCTTCTAATTGTGCAGCAGCCAGGAGACCTGGGTAGCCCCCTAGTAAATTATGACTAGTCTCAAGCCTTTCTTTTTCTTTCTTTCTTTTTTTGTTTTTGTTTTGTTTTGTTTGTTTGTTTGTTTGTTTTTGGTTTTTTGAGACAGAGTTTCTCTGTGGAGTCTTGGCTGTCCTGGACTCACTTTGTAGACCAGGCTGCCCTTGAATCCACAGAGATCTACCTGCTGCTGTCTCCCAAAGTGCTGGGATTATAGACATTGTGCCCAGCTTCAACCCTTTCTTATAAACATATTCCTCCTGCCACAGTGATGGGAAAAAAACAGATCACAGCACCTAACACATGACATTTACATGTGATACCTTGGTAAAGCTCAAACTTCTTTTGATAGTTGAGAGAAATTAATTTTTTTTCTTTCTTGGATATAAGTAATAAAGAATGTGAGCATTATTTTGATATCTGTTGATATCTTTTTTACAGCCTTTGAGGAATCTAGACTGAAAACAACACAGAATAGGCTTGAAGGAATTTATCCAGGCCCATGCCCAAAGCCCATTCTGCTGTTTTCCTGTTGTATGAGTGTTTCTTGTGGTATTTAAATCATAGTGTCTAAGGATTTCTGTCACTTGCAATTGAAACACATACTCCACACGGTTTTCCCTTTATATTCTGTATTCCCTTGCTCTTAACCATTCCATAATCACGTTCATGATTGCATTTGTATAGAGGATTCTTCTATACCCCTTTCTAACAACTGTCTCTTCATCCTTAGCTCCAGCACTTCTAGCTATGGCCAGATAACTAAACCTGGACAATTAATGAGATTTCATTCTTAGCATTATTACCCAAATAAAATTAACTTCATTTCATCACTATATATCTGATTATCAGTTGCCTGAATTTGATATGCTCATATCCTTCTCTTCTTCATTGTCCACAGGTATGAACTACCATGACCTTAGTCAGCTGTATGGGCTCTGTCTCAGTGCTGTGGTTCTCAGAGTGGGATTCATATAAGATGATTCTGGAAACTGAGCGATGATTTCTTTTTCTATAATGTCAACCAATATTTTGTTGTTGCCTTTTCGAAATAAAGTCCCATGGAGTTTAGCCTAGTCATGAATTTGCTATGTTTGAAGCTGGCTTTAAACTCCTGATTCTGGGGCCTAAACCTCCCAAGTGCTGGAATCACCATGACTGGCTTTACTATCAATATTTAGGGGAACTCTGAGTTATATAGCCATTTACCTCTCTCTCACTCTTTCTCTCTCTCTGTGTTCCTCTATTATTCTCTATCATTTATTTATGTATGTACATATATATGTATATATGTATGTAAGTATTGATAGCTTGCTTGTCTCTCACTGAACCTGGTGCTCATTGGTTGGGCTGGCTGGCCAATAAACTCTGAGGATCTAACTGTTGTTCTCCCTCACCTAACACTAGTTACAGACATGTGCCACCACACCTTGCTTTTTACCTGGGTATTGAGGCTTCAGTTCAGGTCCTCATGCCTATTCAGTGGGCCTGTTTACTGAGCCTTGTCCCCAGCCAAGTTTGTAGCTTATTGAAGGTAATGGAAAGAAAACAAAGGATTGAAAAACAAACGGGGGTGTGTTCTGGGCTGGGTATTTTGTTAACAGGCTTCATGACCTTGAACAAGACTTTTAACTTCTCTGGAATCTGACTCACACTGGGTGGCCTTAAAAGATACAAAGTCCTTCCCTGGTCAGGCGTTATTTAAAAATGTTGATAGTTTATCTTATTTTTCACCAGGGTTCACTGGTCCCAAGGTACAGGGCCAGAGAAGCCACCAAGCAGAGGGAGACAGAAATGCTGGGGAAGGGCAGAGAGAGAGAGAGAGAGAGAGAGAAGTGGAAATGCAGAGAGGAGGGGACCTAAATGTCTGGATTATACAGTGAAGAGCCTCTGCAGGAGGGAAAGCCGGGCCCCTGGGCTGGAGACCTTAGAGTGTGCCAGCGTGCCCTGTACCAGGTAGGGGCTGGGAGAATGCTGGGAGAGCCTGGAGGACAGGTCCACCTTAGTTCAAAAGGCACCTAGCCATTTGTCCTGGGTCTGAAGCTCAAAAAAATTATCTTTGTCAGGGTGGTGGCGGCACACGTCTTTGGTAATTCCAGCATTCATGAGGCAGAGGCAGGCAGAACTCTGAGTTAGAGGCCAACCTGGTCTACAGAGCAAGTTCAAGGACAGACTAGGCTGCACAGAGAGACCTTGTCTCAAAAACAAACAACAAAAACCCTAAACAAAACAAAAAGAATGGTCTTTGGAGCCTGAGGGTCTGCAGGTGAGCAGGCCCTTCAGGTGACTCTTGCTCTCCAGTTGGAAACCCCCAGAATGTTACCTTGCTTCTTTCGGTTCTAAGCTAAGGGGGTTAGTCGGTTAAATAAGAATTCGAGTTAGTTAGAAGTGGCAAGTACAGTAGATGTGAGAAGAGAAGGTGTTTGCCTCACTAGAATGTTTCTGGAGAATCGAGTCCTTCCCAGCCATGGCTAAGGTGCTGGGTCCCAGTCCCGGAGCCAGGCTGCAGCCATGCTTGGTGCTTGCTGCTTCCTCCCTTACCCTCTCTTACCCTTTCTCTCCCTTGGTCTTTTTTGCTTTTTCTCCCATCTTACCCACCCAGTTCCTTTTTTCCTCCATCCTCCTCTCCCTCCCTTCTTTTCTCTTTCAATTTCCCATATCCCACTGCTACTCCGGCAAACACATCATTATGAACACATTCATTTGCACTTACCTAATATACTTCTCTTCCACGAAGTCTTTCCGGCTCCCTCAATCAGATGTAAACATTTCCTGCTCAGAACTCTCACAGCACTTTGAATTTCTCTTACGCCATTAATCATATTTTGCCATGTAGTATTTCTAGGGCTACTCTATTGTATGTCCCCAAGGAAAAAGGCTATTGTCTTCATCTATGTGCTGCTTCCTACAGGGCCTAGCACTGTGCCCTGAATATGATGATAATATTTTATGTGTATTTAATGTATATTAATCTAAGAAGTATTTGCATAAGTATCAGAACATCGATACTGAAGAAGTAGTTTCTAAATGGACTGATGAACAAATTCTTTTTTATGTCCTGTGTCCTGGAGGCAGAATTGTACAGAGGCAAGGACACTGGCCTTGGAGTTAACAGGACTGAATTGGAAACCTTGTTCTACTGTGTTAACGCTAGTGGTATTGGCAAATTGTTTAACTTTTCAGAACCATGATTTATGTACAAGGTTGTCATGAAATACCTCTTTTCCAGGGTTGGTGCTGTTAACTGCAATTACTTGTGGAAACATCTGGCACATAGAAGATAATTTTAAAGTACTTGTTAAATAGAATTATTCCCATCCCCCAAACCTTCGCCTCTATTATAATGTACCTTACAGACAAACACTGGCCTTACTAATTCTTTCTCTCCAGAATTTTCACACTGTGTCTTGGTACACCGGATGAAAAGTGTGTAGAATACGTTTTTGTGGACCCAAAATAGCCAATGTCACAAGGTGAAACAAATATGAAAAGCATTTGAACTGAAATGAACAAACTGTATTTGCCAGGATTCTTTGTTGCAAGGTCCGTATATCCAATTCAAACAAGCTTAAAAGAAAAAAGAAAAGAATTATTTACCCCCATAATTGGGAAGTATTGGGCATATCTGGCTTAAAGCACAGCTACATTCAGGGTTAAAATACTGAAGTCAGGACAATTTCTCTTTCTAGCTCTGGGCCTTGCCTCTGTGGCTTTATTCTCAGCTAGTGGGAAGTATGTATGCTGTCTTATGAGCCCAAAGGGAAAAGTTCTTTCTGTCTTTGTGTTTGTGCGAAAATACCATTGACCCTGCTTGGGCACTGTGCCTACATTTAAGCTAGTCAGTGGGTACAAAGGACACGGTACTGTGGATGGTTCTGCCAGGGCCTCATGCCTACTCTGTAGCCAGTGGGAAAGATGTAGGGTGGTCAACAGCCCCTTAGACTTTAAGGAACAAAGGAGAAGTAGTTCCTCCCATAAGAAGGGTGCTGCAGACAAATCAACTCGTTTTGGGCACAGACAGAAACTAATACTCCTTTTCCCATAAGATGCTTATATTAGTTAACTTGAGCTGCTGTTTAAAAATGCTCGTAGGACCAGCTCAGTGGGAAATGTTACTTGCTGTCAAGCCTAATGACCTGAGTTTGATCACTAAGACCAACATGGTGGAAGAAGAAAGCTGACTCAAGTATCTTGTAAAGAGAAAGGTTTATTCAGCTTCTTTAGGTTCCAATGCAAGGTCAGGTGATTTCACGGTTTTTGTTTGTTTGTTTTGGCTTCTGGAAAGGGGTGTCCAATGGCAAAGATGGTGTCCCATATGAACAAGAAAGTAGAGGAAGAGATTATGATGTCACAACCCCATTCTAGGTCATACCTCCACTGACCCAAGAACCTTTCATTAAGCCTCATCTCCTAAAGGCTCCACCACTAATCAACAACACCATCCTGCTGACCAAAGCCTTCCAAAGCCTCCAGGAGACTTTCAACATATAACTAATGCCCTATGTGTCAAATCGCCCACTTGGTATTGTTAAAGGACCTATCTCATTTGTTGATTAGTGTATTCATTCACTGTTATTAAAGGAAAGAAACTCTTCTCCTTCTTTTGAATGTTCTGGTGCCAGGGGTTGGGGTAAAGCCACGACAGAGACAAAACACAGGCTTCCTCCTACAGAGTTTCTGTTCAAAGAGGCTCAAACACCTGTCCTAAACACCAAAGAGGAATGATCTCAGTTCCAGGGTATCATGTAGCTGGCACCATTGATCTGTTGGCTGCACTGGCCTCTTTTAGATGTGATCATAGGATCAGGCTTTCAGGTGAAAGATCATACAAAGCCAATTCCTTCAGCACCTGGGCATACTTCTCACACAAGGCACAAGGGAAAACTCAGAGGTTTTCTTGTTGTATTAGTCAGGGTTCTCAAAGGGAACAGAACTGATATTAAAAGGGGGTTAATTAGACTGACTTACAGGACATAGTCCTGGTAATCCAGCAAAGCCTGTCTCTCAATGGAGAGCCCGAGAATCTGGTAGTTGTTCAGTCTGGATGTCTCTGCAGTCCCAGTCTGGTGCTGGAATGTGGGATCATTCCTGGAGAGCTGCTGTTTTCCATGATGGATCCTGAAGAAGTTGGATTTAATACCAAGCATAAGAACAAACTCCAGTGAAAGTGAGGACAAATGGGCAAAGAACAAAAGCTCCTTTCTTCCATGTCCTTTTAGAGGGGCTGCCACTAGAAGGGTTAGCCCAGATTTGGGGGAGGTCTTTCCACTTCAAATAATCCGATCAAGAAAATCCCCTGCAGGTATGGACAGCATCTTGGGTTTTAGCTGATTCCAGGTGTTTATGTTTGTGTCACACACATACAAATCAAAAACAAACAAATACAAAATACCTATCAATTTGGTAAAAAAAAAAAAAAAAGATGCAACATAACGTTCATTATCATGATCATTTTGAGGTGTATAGGTTCAATTCATCTCAACCATTATGTAGCCATTCTCCAGAATGTTTTTCACCTGTGAAACTGAAACCCTACACTCAGGAAACAACAAACTCCTCATTTTTCCCTCCCCGAGGTCCTGGCACCCACCATGTTCTGTGAATGTGACTATTCTGGTTACCTTCCTACGATTTGAATCTTGTGGTATCTGTCCTTTTCACTTAGCAGAATATCCTCCTGGCTCACCCCTGTTGTAGCATATGTTAGAATTCCATGTCTTCTTAAGGCTGAATGACACCCTGTTGCCATGTCTACCTCATTGTGCTCATCCATTCATCCATGGGTAGACACTGGATAGCACCGTTTTCTGTGAACATGGTGCAGAAGATCAGTGTTGATGGCAGCAGCCTGGGTATTCTGGGACTCTTAGCAGAATTCAGATTGGGCAGGGTCTCAGCGGGGCCTTGAACAGATTAGCTCTGAGTTAGAAGGGACAGCACAGGGCTTGGGATGTCCTCTTCTAGATTTGGCTAGACTTAGAGGATGGGACAGCTTTCTGAGGCTGAAAATATATCCATGCATAAGGGAGAGGATCCAGAGGAAGGAGGAGGCCAGGCTTCATCTAGTTCACAATTTGGGCAGCTGCTGGCCGCAATTTCACACTTTGTTGATTTATTTTCTGAACTCTTGTCAGGCCATTAGAGGTGACTTCCAAACTATAGCACTGTACTAATTGCTTTAGGAGAGATCTGTGCTGTTCTTCAAGGCCCTACCCCCACCCCTCCTCTTCCATTCTCCTCTGAGCATTCTACCAAAGCTCTCCCTGAAACACTGCTAGCCCCACCCTTCCTGGCCCCAGTAAAGCTTAGCTCCCCCCCCCCATTCTCCAGCCCCACTTTCGATTCTCTTTGTCAGCATTGCCTACAGCAGACTTCCTGGTTCATCTGTTTATATTTTGTCTACACTAAACTGAGGTGAGAAGCCAGATTCATCTAAAATGGCCAACTGTGCCTTTGCACCGAAAAGTCTTGTGTTCGTTATGGTGGCTTTGAAGGCAGGAAAGGACAGTGACATGGATTGAACTGAGGGATGCTTGGCGGTACCTGGTATAAGCAGCCTGTTAGCTGGAGGCTGAGCCAAATAGAAGTTGAGTATCTGGGGGCCTTTGAAATGGCTGCTGAAGACAAGGGAATTGTTTGTTGGAACTAGGCGACCCAGGAGCAGGCTTCACGATGCTGGGGATCAATACTGTTTCTTCTAAGGAAATAAACAGAATCAATGCCAGCTGCCCTGGGTCTCAAACTAGATCTGAAAGCCACAGGTCCATGGATGGAGGCTCTATGCTGACTTTGTAGAATACAACAGTGTGTACTTGTTTGAGAAACTGGGAGGAACATTACTGAATTTCATTCCAACAACCAGACCTGGGCCACCAAAGGCCTAACACACACGTATGGAGCATCAGAGGAACATATAACTGAACAGTTTAAAGAGGTCTTAGACATTGTGATAGGCATGTTCTGCTCCTCTATCCACCGTGGCATGGCTCAATGGAAGCATACACCTGCTGGGCATAGACAGCCTCAGTATGTTCTCACTGCTACCAGAAGCCAGCACCAAATAGTCCTGTTGGCTCTCTACATGAAAGTGTGTACATAAATTCTTTGGTTAACTGAATCTAATCTCATTCCAAAAGGGCTTCTTTTCTATGGCTTTCTGGTGAATGGATCTGGAGGCTTTGTGAGCATGCGTCATTGCTGAGTAGCTCAAATTCTTAAAGCTCAAATTCAGTTAAAACCCACTGCTTTCTCACTGTAGGACATTCCTTAGGCTGTGTGTACAGAGACGGTTTCCTTAGGCGGGGCCTCTGCCTTGTAATCGATTCCATTTGCCCTGTACTTGCCTTGGAATCAACAGAAATTTCTCTGTGCATATGGAAGCTCTTAAAGGCGGCTACCATGTCTTCCGTTCCCCTACTGCTCTTTGTCTGTCTCTTTCCTACAGGAAGTCTTTGAAGTCATTGTAGTAGTTTCTTAGGATATTTGTTTCTGAGAGCCTTTGCTTTCTGGCTAGCCTCTAGTGGTCATGCCTTGAATCATCCATTTTCCTATTAAACTGAAGTATCACAATGCGTTCTATATTTCATCTCTGATTTGGAGTGTTGTAGAGCACAAGCCAGCACACAGGGACATTTAGGTGGGCTTTGAAAAATGAAAAGGAGTTCACCAAGTTGACGAGGTACATCAAAGCATTTCTCAGCAGGGAAAAGTCAGCCAAAGCATGGCTGTGACTTATCTGGGTGGCTTCTGTCCATTCTTGTATGAACCAAATCGTTACTTTTCATGATTTTAAAAATTTTTCTGAGAATTATAAAATCCCAGAGTTGCAAACATCCTTAGATGTGTACAAGCCCCAATCAGCTGATTAAAGAGCCAGACTACCAAATTCTCGGTCCCTTCCACCACAAAGAGTGGCTTTTGAGTAACTTCTGTGATAGGGAGTGTCACTCTTTTGAAGCAGACCATTCAATATTTTTACTTCTCTGTCTGAAAGTTCCCACGTTTCAGTTGGAACCCGCTTCACTGCCACGTTAGTCATTTTTCAGAGTTATTGAGCATTTCATTTGCTCAGCACTATTCTAGGTGTTGTGTGTGTGAGGAGGGGCTCAGAAGGGGTGCATGTGGGGGATCCTGAATGCTCCATAGAGTGATCAAGGAGGAGGAACAGGACAAGGAAGTGCAGATAATTTGCACTATAGTTGGGGGACCCCTAGGAAAAGAAAGCACTACAAATATTGTCATGGAGACATGGATTAAATACCAAGGGTGTGCAGAGGAAAAGATAGTCAGCTTTTATGAGGACAGCAGAGCCCACCTGTTTTCTGGAGTATGCAGCCATCAGAGTGACCTCTTTACAAGCCAAGTCAGATGACATTCCATTCTAGACCTTTCCAGGCTTTCCATAGCATTCAGGGCCCTGTAGGACTCCATACAATGTCGTGTGAACCCCCACACTTTCTCTTCTGCTGTCACTAATCTTGATGCTCTCTTAGTACTTGAGTTAAGGATTTTGCACTGGTGCTTTCTCTTTAGAATGCTTTCTGGACTTCCCCATGGATTGTTCCTTTACATCATTCAACTATACAAAAGTCTTCCTTCCATGCACCATGGCTCATCCCTTGCAATCCCTCCACTCTGCTGTATGTACCTTGTAGTATTCATTACTATCTAAAGCATCTTTATTATTGTCAGTCTCCTCAAGATTGTGATCTATGAAAACATTGAGAATGTTGTTTACGGCTGTATCCTCAGTGCCAAGAACACAGCCTAACACATAACAAATGAAAATATAAATATCAGAGAAATAAATGTAAGTTAATTTCAGTAACTTATAATAATATTTAGCCTATTAATCTATTAAATAATAATTTTTAAAAACTAACAGAATGTGACATTAACACCTGATATACTTTTGTAGCTTCTAGACACAAATCCAATCCTTTCGGAAAGGAACCCAAACAGTTTCTCATTTAAAATCCTGTGCTATTTCCTACTTTCTATGATTTCTCAAAGGATTTTGACTGTGGCTCTGAGATTTGCAAGTCTTTCCAGTGTCTAGGAGATTTTCTACCTAGGCTGAGGTAGCAACAAATTGCACGCGTGAAGGATTCTCATCTAGCATGAGGTTATATTTTCAAGTCAGCATGCAAAGGTAAAATTGACATATCACCAAGATTTCTCTGAATATCCTAGCATCAAAACAAACAGTGGGGTTCTGCAGTTGGGCACCCGAGGAATTGGTTTGTTTGTATTAGGTGCCCTGTGATGTGAAAAGTAGGGCTCTCTGAACACCAGAATCACCCTCAGCCTGGCTGGGTGCTTTTCTCACTGGATACATTTGGGAATTAAGGCAGAGAGGACAGCAATTTACATCCCTACTACAGCCAAGTAGTTCTGGTCAGGAGCTGGACTGAGTATATGAATCCTGCCTTACTTGCTTAGCATGGGAGAACAGGCTGACTCAACCTCTCTGTGCATCAGTTTCTTCATCTGTGACGTGGGACAATAACAGTACCTGCCCCAAAGGGTTGCATTAAATCTAAACCCATCAGCACTTAGGCACTCCTTGGACTAGCAGCTGAGTGTGCTGAGCATGTCCGTCCGTATTTGCAATCACTTTAATTAACGCTTCTCTCCTGTTCCTGTTGAGACCTAGGCTCAGGGGTTGGCAAGGCAGGCAGAGTGTGGTAGACTATTTAGGTTGTAATTGCTTGTTCTCGCACCTTCTTTCTCTGTATCTTGTTCTCCAGAGGCCAATAGTAGCATTTGTCTGATGTGACCTCGCTCAAGTGTTCTGTCTCTGTGGGAACTCGGTAATTATTGATTATCATACAAACCCTACTTTGCACACATTTCTAGAGAGGTGGAGGCAAACAAGCCAGCAAGCAAACAGCAGATTTGGAATAGTTTGAGCTCTTCGTCTGTCACTCTCACACTAAATGCTTCCCACTAACTCTGAGTTTGGGCTTTTCTTGCTGACCCCCTCCAATATAAGCCATTGAGTCTCTTCAGTTGCTCTCAGCTTTTCTGGAATCTTGCCTTCGCTCTCTGGCTTCAGCCTTTTTTTTTTTTTTTTCAGATTCATGTTCTTCCCTTTCTTTTAGCACTGAGAAAGTTAAAAAGTCAGGAAGAAAGGCAACACAGCAGAAAATGCATGAAAAATGACCAGCCAGGACTTTTTTAAAATGTGAGAAGCAGAAGAGAGCGAGGCCTGAGGAGTTGGCATAAAGAGAAAGGAACACTCACTGTTATATACAGCAGAAGCTGCTGTCCTAACAGAGGTGATGAATTCCCACAGGCCAGAGCTGCTGAGGATGGGGGCTTTCAGGGACAGCCAGCCTGGCAGGCAGGCCAACTGCCAGGAAGTAGAAGCCACACTTTGACCACATCTGGAAAGTTCGGCTGTTACAGCTATTCCCTTCTTTGTAGCCCTAGTATGTAATCTCTTGTTCCTATTCTGTTATTAAAATTACAGAAGAAAATATTATATAAGGACCCAGTAAGTTCCAGATGTTATTGTCATCCTTTGTTCCTATAGTTGACTCATTCATTTATCCATTCAACATGTATTTTCTGGGCATTTATAGTCTAGGCATAATGCAAAATACAGTGTGAAAATATGAACTAGGGTAGGGTGCAGTGACACACACCTATAATCCCAGCACTCTGAAAGTCAGAGGCAGGCAGACCTCTGTGACCAGGTCAGCCTGGTCTACAAAGTGAGTCCAGGACAGCTAAGACTACGTAGAGAAACCCCACCCCACCCCGCCCCCACCCCCACCAAAAAAGAAAGAAAGGAAGAAAGAAAGAAAAGAAAGAAAGAAAGAAGAAAAGAAAGGAAAATATGACCTCAGTAAAGACTCTTTCATTAAACAGTCATGCCTGAAAAGAGAGAGAGGCACAGAAGCAGCTCTCACAGCAGGCTGTTCAGGGTCTTAGACTGAGTGTTCAGCAGTTGCAGTGATCCTGTGAATCACAAGAAAAGGAGAGAGAAGCTGGACCGGGAAGAAATGAAAACCAGTGCAGGGTGTGCCAATGAGCCGGCTGCTGCTCTGGCAGTGGGCTCAGTCCCACTGAGGATCACTCAGAGACGTTGTGGAAGCTGCCTCCTGTTGTCTCAGAATGTGAAGTCTGTGGCATTTGCCCAGTACCTCCCACTCCTGGCCTGCCCTGGCCTCTGGGCTAGCATATTCTTGGCCACACACAGTAGAAGAGGCTGGTGTGGACAGAAGCAGTGATGTTAAGAGAACATGGCAGAACACTGAAGTATCTGTTATGTTCACTTAGAGAAAGAAGCACAGAGTGTTATGGAAGGGGAGTTCACGGCTTAAACTAGCTGTGTGTCTTCTTTGAGGAGCTGACAGTTATCACTCACCTACCACAGGGTATCTTCTAGAGCTGTTCAGCGATGCCTGAGCAGAAATTCCCTGATGCCTGGCCACACTGAGAACTGCGAGTTCTGGGAAGGCCTAATAAGCCAACTCCTGCCCGTAGGACCATGGGGTCACCAGCAGGACAAGGACTCTGGCAGCTAACGGATCCTCACAGCGTTGTCCTCTCTGAAAACGAGAAGTGGACAATGGACAGAATGAGCTCACATTTGCTTTTCATAAAGAACCCCAAGGACTTTATTGTTTTGTTTTTCCCCCCCGCAACTCATTCCATGCTTGTGAATTGTTTGTTCTTTCTTCTAGAACTGTCACCTCACAGCAGCCCTGCCCAGTCCCCACCCCCACCCCATGCTTGCTGCCCTCATTCCTCCTTCATAGCACAACCTCCCAGTTAGAATAAGGATGTGGCAATCAGGCTGCCCAGAATTGCTCTCCCACCTTCAGTTCGTCCTGAGCAGAGTTCAGATTGCACATTTCCCGACACTCAGAAAGACCCATTAATATTTAGCAGGTTACATTTCCAAAGCACTTTGCTCATATGAATTGATCTTTTCGGCACCCCCTTGCGAGGCAGCTCAGTACTGCTAGCTCTACAGGGGACAGAAGACTTCAGGAAGATAAGCTACTTAGGCCAGGGCCAGGGCTGGTGAGTGATGGATCCAGATTACCACCAAAGGTCGATGACACCGGTTGTCTGTGTCTCCAGACAGAACTCTAGAGTGGCCGTGGCACACCCTCCCTCTCCAGGATGTCCTGGAACACATCCAGCCCTCAGAAGGTTTAAATAGAACGGATTTGTCATCTTTAAGATTGAACTGCTTACAAACCAGCTATCATTTATGGACCCAGGCACTTCACATAGATTGTGTCATTTAATTCTCTCAACTCTTGTCCAACTTCTGTAATATCACTATTAGTTTGTGAATCAGAGAAGAGAGGCACAAAACAATTAATTGACTAACTTAAAGTTTCCCAGCTAGTAATTAGCAGAACAAGGTTTAAACCCAGATAGCTTCTGAGGTCTTAGCTATTTTCAGCCTGATTAAATGTGGGTAGATGGACAAGGTCAAGTGGAATTGCTCTTTGTGTGAGGTTCTGCCCACTCCTGGGCAGGTCATCAGACGTTGTGCACAATTATTTCTGCAAGTAAAGAAATAAAAGCACCTATGGGGGAGATACAAAGTGAATAAACTGTAATTAATAAAAATAAAATTAAAAAAATTAAAAAAGAAATAAAAATGTGTTTGTGAAGAATGAGTGTGTAAACTAAAGTTGCTGGGTGCTTAGTTTACTCTGAGGGTTTTTGCTTTTTCCCTTCCATTCCAAAGTCTTGCCAAAAGTACAGAGAGGATTAGTTTGCACAATATTAAATAAATAAGTGGGGGGTCTGTGTGCCATGTACGGTGTTTAATGATGACACTCACTCTTGTTGGCAGAGCACAAGGGTTGTGAGAGCTCTTTGACAGGGACAAAGGAGGAAGGCAGGAGTGACCTGCTATCCCAGAGAGGTAGCAGACATTTTATGAGGGTGACCTGAGTTACAAGCTGATGTGGGTCAAGAAAGGAAAGGTCAGCATGTGCAAAGAGAATGGAAGTATGAAGAAACAGGCAGGTTTGGAGGCCAGACAGTTCTGTGCCTCTTGCTTTCTTCCACTCACTGGGTCAATCTGTGGTCCCAAAGTCCTGAGTGAGAGGTTGGTTCAAAAATTCTAGGGTGTCCTTGAAAATGTAACTGTGACAAACACAGTCAGATTTTCACCTTTTGGTGTTTTTGTTGGCTAAAAAGGATAATTATTTAGCAAGTCTCTACTAGATATAAGGTACTGACCCCAGAAGCCCTTGATGGGAATGGTACCTTTCAAAGTGCTGTGGGGCCATTGAAAGGGCTTGGAGTGGAGGCATTGTATCCTGAGAAGAAACCATGAAGAAGAGTCACTCTGTCTCTATGTCTCTCCTAAGGGAAAAATAACCAGTATTGTAATTTAATTCTTTTACATTTTTAATGCTTTTAATTGAAATAGAATTATATCACTTCCCCTTTCTATTTCCTCTCTCCAGACCCTCTCAGTTACCCTCCCTCTGACTTCTCCCATGCCTCCCAAGTTTACAGCTTCTTATTCTTTGATTATATTTATTACACACACACACACACACACATACATATATACAACATTCTGGACTGTTTTCGTTGTTTGTGTGTATGTGGCTTCAGGGCCGACCACTCTGCATTGGACAATCAATAAGAGTACCCACCCTGAGAGAGGTGGGTCAGCAGTCACTAGCTGCCTGTACTTCTTTGTCTAGGGATAGGGTCCTGGGAAACTTTCCCATTCCATGTTAACTTGTCCATTGATACTGCTGTTGTTTCTGCCATGCTTATGCAGCCATTTCTAGGCGAGATTGTTTTAAAGCTGCCTTACTGGTATTCAGGCTCTTACAACCTTCCTGCCTTCCCTTCTGCAGTGTTCCCTGAGCCACGGATGCAGGGGCTGTGATGTAGATGTATCTGTTGGGGCTGGAATCTCCGCGATCTACTGATCTCCATTCTCTCTCCAGCTGAGTGGGCTTTAAGTCCAGTTGGACAGCTGTTGGTACTCACCAACACATTGGGTGCCAGTTTTGGGACCTTTCTGCATATCTTGCCACCCTGCTAGTTGTCATGGTTCCTAGGTGCTGCAGCTGGAGAAGTCTGAGTTATGTCCAGTTGTGGTTTTCTGTGATGGTCTCCATTTGCTTTAAAGAGAAGCTTCTTTGATGAGGGGTGGTGGCTACACTTACCTCTGGGTATAAGGATAGGATTCAGAATGTAATAAAGAGGTATGCTGGTCTAGCAAAGTGGTGGTAGTAGCTTCGTTTCTAAGGCCTATGACCTCACCAGCCCCTGGAAAGCTAGGTTTCCAGTACTAAGCATGGTTTCCCTTCTGCTGAGTGGGCCTTACGTCCAATTAGAGAGCTGTTGGTTGCCACCACCATATGAATGTCAGTTCTTGAATCTTACTGTGTATCTCACCATGCTAGTAATTGTTGTAGTTCATAGGTGTTACAGCTGCGTGGGAGTGTTTAATTGCTTTCCTCCCTTGGCAGTTTGTACAGTATTTTTCGAAATGATGGAAACTAGACTACAGGAAAGAGTCTTTCAGGTCCGATCCAGCTCAAGTTGTCCAAACCCTATGTTCTAAGTGTGTGGTTTCTTCAGCAACAGAGGCCCACCTTCAGTCCTTGGGAGTCAACCAGGAGCTACGTAGATAATCTATATTGTTTTGTGAGTCACTTCAGAGTGTGCTATAAAGGAATTTTAATTCAGAACATGGCCTCTCTGGCAAGAGATCACATCAAAGACCTTCCAGATCTGTGTGATCTAGCTGGAATACAAACACACCTTTAATCTGGGAGACAGAGGCAAGCAGATCTGAGTTCAAGGCCAGTCTGGTATAGAGCAAGTTTCCGGTAAAGAAAAGCTTAGTTAGGTCCAAGTGTAGTGGTACACACCTTTAATCTCAAACAATGAAGTTAGTTTGTAGAAAGAAGCAACTATGTTTGAAAATGATTAATGAGTAGAAGAAAATGTGATGAATCAGAGGATTTGACAGAATAGGATATGCCCAGTTCTCACCAGAAGAGAAAGGGAAACTATGTAAGGGGCAATGCAGAGAGAGGTGGAGGCAGTTTTACTGGGACAGTAATACAGAGACAGGTTGCAGAGAGAGAACTCAGGTGAAGACAGGACAAGGCAGAGAATGAGAAGGAGCCAGAAGATTAGAGCAGATTGCTGGAGTTAAGTTTGAGGCCAAGTGGAGCAATTCAGAGGCCAGGAGAGAAGCCAGATTGAATAAGTCAGCTGAGAGAGGAGTTTGAGGCAGAACAGCTGAGTTGAATCAGCCAGCCCAGAGCTCAGAGAGAACAAGAAAGGGTGAGCTTATTCAGCAGAGAGTGAAAACATTCTAGGCCTAGATTAAATTGCATGGAGGCAAGAAGCTTCCAAGACTAGGTGTAGGCTAGCAGAAGAAGACAGTAATCCTCTGAGACAACAACTGAAACAGGCAAATAAAAGTTCTTCTTCCGTGTGTGTGTATGTGTGTGTGTGTGTGTATACATGCTACATGCACCTGTGTGAAGATCAGAGGACAACTTGCGGGAATTGGCTTTTTCCTCCTATCTGTCATGTGGGATTCAGGGATCAAATTCAGGCTGTCAGGCTTGGCAGCAAGCACACCCCACTGAGCCATCTCATTGGCTCTCGTATTGCAATTTACAAACCATTTTGTTCCCTATTCACATTTGTCCCTTCTGAGCAAAAGTTTATGATAGGTGGACCTCCCTTTTCCTTATTAGTTCTTTATAGTTTAGCAAACAATGTACCATTCACTGTGTAATTTAGTCTTCTCAATTAGCCAGCGTAGTGTGGTCTTGGTGGCTCTCCATCTTGAAGCTGAGTTTTTGTGACTCATCTAAGGTTCTCCTCAGGGCTCTGGTCTCAAGCTTGTTTCCTTATATGTAGTATTTTGCCTTCCAGCCCCTGCTGGGTGTTCAGCACAGATAGACCTGAGTGCCAGAGGGCCCTGAAAGTGTAGTGGAGTGAGAAGTATAGCTTGATACACATGGTGAGCTAGGCCTTGATGGTGTCAAATACAGGACAGAGATGAAGCAAAATGTCCAGACTTGTTATCAGTTACAACTCTCAGGAGCCAACTCATTCTCAGATGGTTCAGTCAGGGCACAGTTTAAGCACACGCACCTCGAGACTAGGAAGTGGATTGAACTGCCTTGGTGCATGAAAACAAGACAGAGAAGGGATGGGCAAGTGGAAAATATGTTATCTGCTTTTACCTCACAGGCCTGAGATTGGACCAAGGCAGTAGTAGCTTCCATGCTTTCTTTCTGGTGGCTTCAGTTAGAGTTGGAGAGTCCTCTGGGCTCCTGTTTGAGTTCTGGAGTCATCATCATTATCAAAGTGAATGGAATGAGAGCTATCTGCAATGTCCTGCCCTCGTAATGTCCTAAAACCTCTCCAGTTGATGGCTTTTACTATGTTTCGTTAATAGCAGTATTTAGATACTAGTCAGGTGGTGAGGGTCCAGCACCCCAAAGCCCAGTGAAAATGGAGTCTGTTGTGTTTGTAAGCTGAAATTTACAAACGGAAAGATTTCTTATGCTAGGAGGCACCGACCAGAGCCTACACTTCCGGGGGAAGAGGGAAGGCTTACCCTGTCCCTCCATCCTGATAACAGTTTCTCTTCCATCTTCCATACCATATGGATAACTATGGCACTGTATTCGGAGAACACTGTGAAATGTTCCCTGGCACGATGGGAACTTGTCTCCTACACAACCTGTGCCTGCCTCTTACTCCACAGGCACACCTCATTAGGACTGTCTGTTTTGAAACTAGGCTGGAGATAACCATTTCCTAACAAAATCCTCCAACCTCCGCTAGGTATCTTGGGACTCCAAACGGTCACACAATTAAGACGGGGGGCCTGGCACCAGGAACTGTAGAGGAACAGAGTAAAGGTGGAGTAGTTCAGCAGTTGACTCTAGAGCCAGAAGGTCTTAGTTCAAATCGCATGCTTGTTTATTAGCTTCACGGCCTCAGGCATATTATGAAATCTCTGTGCTTCAGTTTCCTCCAATGGGAAATAATGGTGTACATGGGTCCTAGATGATAAGATTGCATGAGGACTGATCAGATGAATCTGTGTGTGAAGGGTTTGGCACAGACCTGGAACACACTAAGCACTTGTTAACAGCTAAACATCATTATTTACTAAAGGAGGGATTTTCTGCATCCAGGATGATTCTTTTTCTTTCTTATGTCCTTGGAACCTCCACTCCGTGACCTTCTCCCTAATTTACATTTATGGAGCCAGCTGTTCCAATAGCCTCTCTTCTGGTTGGGGATGGGAAGGAAAAGCACCTTGCATATGAGCTCTTATTATTTTTGGTATTGCTTACAGTGTCATCTTAAACCAATATGCCACAGCTCATTTTCATTCAGCACTAAGGGCCCTTTAAGCCAGCCATTCCCCATTTACTCGGTTTTAAAAAAAGAAGGTCTTCGGGTTTCATGTTCCTTTATTGTATTTTGTGAGGCACTGAACACACATTGGATACTATGTAAATGTGAAATTCTCTAACAATAGCAACAGACAGATGAGAAACTCAAGGAAGTGGAGTCACCATTTTGAATTTAGCTTTTTATTGATGGGCTGAGTGATTTGGAAGAGACAATGTGGCTCCAAGGCTAAAGAGCCCACAGGGATTTCCATGGTGAAGGTTTGAATCTCAGTCACAGCAGCGGCTTCAGTGACCCCAGGCAAGCAGCTTCCTTCCCCTGGACCTCAAATTCCCCCCATGCATACTGGGCTTGGTGCCACAAAACTGCCTCCTAGGGTTGCTAAGTGAAGCCTGGCCATATGTAGTTGTGCAGATTGTGCACTGCCGAAGGGTGCCAACTCACGGGGCAAGTGGGTGTAGGACGCCGTCATACTCTGCTCTCAGTTTGTACCCTGGTAATGGGTTGTGGCCACTCAAAGGAACAGGGTGCCTTGTCCTTCTGTTCTGCACAATAGCATCAACACGGGCTAATAGAGACCCTGAATTAAGCAGCTTGACAGGAGTGAGGCACAGAGTTCAGCAAACAGGATTTAGAAATGAATTCAACACCGCTCCTGAATGCTTGCTATGTGCTAGGCCCAATTCTAGGGGCTTCAGATATGGAGAGGGATGCAGGTAACTAATGCATGTGGTTCTGGCCTTCCTTCCCCAGACTACCCTCCACTGTAGTCAGTCTATTAACAAGTCTTGTCAAGGGGCTGGAGAGATGGCTCAGAGGTTAAGAACACTGTCTGCTCTTCCAGAGCTCCTGAGTTCAAGTCCTAGCAACCACATGATGGCTCCCAACCATCTAGAATAAGATTTGCTACCCTCTTTGGCACACATGCAGACAGAACACTGTGCACATACATAATAAATAAATAAATCTTAAAAAAAACAAGTCTTGTCAAACTCACCCCGTTTTCTCCATCCCCCCTGCCTGCACTTTGCTTCATTATGGGACACAAGGACCCCTGCCTCTGCTTCTTGAGACAAAAGCAAGAATGTTCATGTTGAAAGGTGAATCAGATATTACCCCATTTAAACCCTATGAAGGATCTAATTCAATCCAGGGTTCTCACGATGGTCCACATTCCATCCACTGAACCAAAACCAACTATCTTTTCCTTTAAATATCCTAGCTCTTTAGTCAGTCTAACCCTTTGGCTGGAACACCATTTGGTTCTCCCCTTTAGCCATCTCTTTCTCATCCTTCAATGCTAAGTGGACAGCGCTTCAAAGAAGCCTTCCCTGGGCCATCTTGTTAAAGCAGCACCCCAGCATTCATTACCAAGGCATCTATCCTATTGTACAGCAGCCCAGCCCTATTTTCAGAGTGCACAATTCCTTATCTTCTGACTTATCTGCTAGATCGTTAAGTGCCAAAACAGCACTGAGTGCCTTGCTAAGTCTCTGATATACAGTACTAAATATTGATAATACTCATTAGAGCAGGTTGATAAAATAGAATTGATCCAACAGAGCAATATTGTGACTACAGAAATGTAAGGATGAGTACTATGACAAGGTGCTAGGTGAGGTGGGGGGTGGCAGATGAGGAATACCCTGTTTTATCCTTTGTCGATTTTCATGGCACAAATACTACCTTTTGCCAGTGGTTATAAAAACTCACTATGGGGTAGCAGATACTCAGCAAAGGCTTCTTTGGTTGATGAAGCAAAACTTGATTTGTGTTCTGTAGGATCTCTGGTTTACTGGGGTCAGTCCCAATTCTGCTAAAACTTGTTAACAGCTCTGCTTCCCAGTAGCCAGTATTTAACTCTTCCTGGTTTCCGTACCCAGCCTACCTGGGCATTATCATATGTTTCAATCTATGCCTCAGGATGTTTAGCTTTCCCCACGTATGGCTTTCTACTTAGACTGAGGAACGTCCTTTGATTCCCAGCTTAGGTTGTGGCAGTAATGGAGAGAAGGAGAAAGGCCAGGTTACTTTTTTTCCACAATTCCTATTACAGCTGAAGGCTGTTTTGTTGCTGTTGCTAATTTTGCTTTTTGATACAGAACTATTTGATTAACAGCAGTCTCTTCTTAAGGGACTACAAATCCACAGAGGTGGACCCTGCTCTGAGTGTTATTTTCAGCCCTCAGCACTGGTACATTGCAAGCAATAAAATACAATGTTTGTTGAGTGATCAGGTTCACCCAAGGGTGGGGGCACTTTTAAAGAAGGCTCACACCTACCTATCCTATAATAAGATTTGGTATGTCTTCTCTCTTTGAACTTCTTCCTTACAGTAAGGGACGGGAAGGAAAGCAGTGGCGTGGGGACTCAGATTTTGTCAAAGCTACCCAAGTTGTTCACCTTCATTCTTTCTCTTGAACTCAATCGAATGGTTTCTTTACAGGATTTTTAACACAAACATGACTTGATTAAATTTGTTATTTACCCAAATCGACCTTTGGCAGTAGCGAGGACCCCATAGCGGTCCTGAGATCAGTAAGGAGGACAGTAATCAGCTGAGAAAAGAAGCAGATGGAAATTAAATAACTGGCAGTGGAAATAAAAGCGAACAGACTCCAGTGCTAGAGTAAGAGAATCTACAGCGGTTGGTTACCATTCAAATGTAGATGGGAGAGGCAATGGAGACAGATGGGAATCCAGGTCAGTGAACAGAGAGTCAGTACGTATTTTTCAAATATTTCTTTTTTTCTTTTATGGTGCTGGAGTTCGAACCCGGGGCACTTCACTTGTTAGGCAATCACTGGGCTATTCCCTTAGCCCACCGAAGCTTTCAAGCCATTTTAACAAGTCTTCAAGACAGGAATGAGGTGAGTCCGTCTAGAAGCTGGGAGTACAATGAGCTAAGGCAAAAAGAACCTGGGCTGGACTCTCCCCTCCCTCATTCTAAGAATTGCAGAGAACAATATCTAAGAGGTGAGTTCGAAAAAAGAATTATAAAAAGAGACTGACTAGAATGGCTTGGAATGAGGAAGGTAAACGTGGATAGTGTCATAGAAAATAAATGATAATGTCTAACAGCACCAAATGACTAATGCTTAAGTTAGACAGCCTGAAATACCTCTAGTGGGTTTGGCGACAAGGACACTGGCTGCAACAAGGACATTTTCTGCGGGGGCAGAAGCTGCAGTGTAGAACACAGCACACACAAGGAAGGGAGTAGAGACGCTAAGCGCAGATTACGCTCGAAGAAACTCGCCTGTGGACGGGGAAAGAATCACGGTATGATTGAGTAGGATATGAGGAGGTTTGAGCGCATATCACAGCTGTGGGTAGAGATGGAGGATGGACGACCGTACAGGACATAAGAGGAGCGTCAACGCCCTCCTGCCCTCTCCATTTGCCAGCCCCGCTCCCGCGTGACGCGACCAGGCCTCGCAAAGACTACAACTCCCAGGAGGCCCCGCGGCGTGGGAGGAGCCAAGGCCTGGCGCGCACCCCAGCGGCGAGCGGAAGAGCTGGCGCTTCGTGGTGGCGGCGGAAGCGGAGAGCGACGGCGTCCCGGTAACCACGAACCCCTGTTCCTGTTCCCGATTCTTTTTCACCCTGAGCTGGGGCTGGTTGTTCCCTCGCTTCTCTCCTCCTGCCAGGGACCAGACCCTCTTTCCTCTGTGTGTTAGCGCTGTTTTTGTGTTGTTGTTTTTTTTTTTCCTCACGTGACGCGTGGGGCAGGCCCCCGCCTGGGGCAGAGGTTATTGGGAAGCTCCCGCCCTGCCGACCTCTTGGGGCTCCCGGACCGGAGGGTCTGTCTCGAGTCCCCTGTTTTCTCAGCGGCCTCAGGCCTGCCGTGGGGCTCGGCCCTAAAGCTTCTCCTAGGATCGTCTCCCTCCAGTGTGTCAACAGGTAGCGAGCGGGGTCTCTTGGGACCCCCTCAGCGCTGCAGGGCTGTGGACCACCGAGGGGCTCCGGGATCCCCGGCCGCAGCCGCGGGCGGTTTCCGGGTAGTGGCACGTCCGCTCCGCTGCCCGGAGCCCCGGGCTATGGGCTGGCAGTGAGCAGTTTATAAAGTAGGGTGTACTTCCTGCTCTTCTTGGGCGGTCCTCGGAAAACTTCCAAATTCCTTTATCGGTAGTTTTCTTACAGACTTTTCGCCGCATCTGAGTTGTGAGGGAAGGAGCACAGGGTTTAGAGTTTGAATCCTGACAGGATGATGGGTCGGCCACTCGCTGGTCCTGTTACCACCACCTCGTTTTTCCTGTCTGAAAAGGGGGACAGTCTTTTTGGTGTTCTGCCTTTCAGTGTTATGGATTTCAGCAGAAGTGATGTTTGTGTGAACACCTTTGGACTGTAAAGCATGTTTAAAGGAAAGCTTTAGTATCCTACCTTGTGCAGTCCAGGTCAGTTCCTTTTTTTTTTTTGAGACAGTTTCTCTGTGTAGCCTTGGCTGGCCTAGACTCACTTTTGTAGACCAGGCTGCCCTCGAACTCACTGACGTCCGCCTGCCTCTGGCGCCCTGAGTGCTGGGGTCACAGGCTTGTGCCGCTATGCCCCGTTCTTGTCAGTTATATTTTAAGATCACGTTCATGCCTTTATGAAGAGGAGTTTAATAAATCGTCTCTTTAGAAACTGAAATCAAACATACAAATGTTATTCTAAGTTTCTAGTGGAGAGGTGACAATAGGGCCTGACCACCTGTGGAATCAATTTAAAAAAAACTGGAATTTTGAGGCCCGTCAGAATCCACACTGCTGTCCACACACAGCTGACTAGCTGCCCCTTTTGCCCTGTAACAACACCTCTTATCAGCACTACACATTACAAGCTTCTCTTAAGACTTAGAGCTCCCAAGCTTGGTGCTGAACTTACTGTGGTCCTCTAGCTATTGTGGATTTCCTTCTCCTTTTCAGGTCCTACTGATGTAATAGCTGTTTTAACTATTTGGGGTGTACTTGCTAGGAGTCTTTTTTCACAGTACTCAGAATATAAATACTTAATATTGCAGTCTGTTTTCTGACTGTAAAGATCTGAGGTTTTGAGTGTTGCTTGTTGTTCATCCATCGTCCGATAATGCCCCTCCTCCAGAAGTTAGGGAGTTTGCAAGCAAAATTTAAAAGGATTTGGGATATAGTAATATTATATGTTAGTTTGTTTGACAAAGAGAGAAGGAAAGTGCCTTAGGTCAGTGTATAAAGTTGAATAATTTGAGTTCAACTGGTGTTGGGACTTTGGGCAACTTAATTAACTTCTCTGAGCCTGGTTTTTAGTCTCTAAGAAGAAATTAATAGTATTTACCTCATGTTTGTGAAGATTATCTAAGTTGTGACTTTAAAGAGATTAGTGATGGTAAGGGCGTGCAAGTTCATTTTTGGTGCTGTTACTAATGAATAATGACAAGAAGTGATGTTAATTCTAGCTATTTTCCTGAGATTATCTACTCTACAGACTTAAAAGCTACAGTATAGCTGGCCACCTATAGGTCAAAACACCTATAATTTCATCGTTTGGGAGACCAGGACAGGAGAATCTCAAATTTGATGCCAGACTATTTTAGTGAGATGCTTTCTCAAAAACTACCACCACCAAGAACACCAATGAAAAAAATGTAAATAGAAGTTTTCAAAATTACAGGACCTTTATTTCATAACAATTTCATTTTTGATAAACATTACAGGGGTGGAGGTGTATATTCATTGATAAGATTGCATAAGGCTCAGAGTTATCTTCTTATTACTGACAACAACAACAAAACAGCCTTTAATCCCAGCACAGGAGTTTTAGAGGCTGACTGATATCTGAGGTTTCTGCTAGCCCAGTCTATGTAGTGAGTTCTAGGCCAGGAATGGTGACACAGTGAGAGAGCCTGTTTTTAAAAAATATAAATGTATTTCAAAAAGATTGCTCTTTTTCAGTCTTAGGGTTTCCTATAGTACTGTTGTGAATTGGTTGTTGGGTATGTGCTTTAGTTAATAGTTTAAAGAGACTTCAAATATTTTTTGTACCTTGTTAGTTGAGATTGGATGGTGCTTTATTTATAACCTGTACTAAAAGTGAATGTCACTGTGCAATGTAGCTTGTAGCAGGACAATTAACTATGACTCAGATATTGGCAAGAATAGAATTTTATAAAACAATTTTTAAGACTCTGTTTATATGAGATTATCCCCTGTATACATCCACATACACAAAACAGGTTTTGTTTGTTTATTTATTGTTTTTGTTTTGTTTTATCAAGACAGGATTTCTCTGTGTAGTCCTGGCTGTTCTGGAACTTAACTCTGTAGACTAGGCTGGCCTTGAACTCACAGAGATTTGCCTCTGCCTCCCTGAGTGCTGGGATTAAGGGTGTGTGGCACCATCACCCACATATATAGTGTTTAAGCTAAGCTATTTGTAAAGCCCCAGTTGGTTGTGGTGGTGCACACCTTTAATCCCAGCAGCTAGGAGGCTGAAGCATCTGATCTCTAAAGTCAAGGTCAGCATGGTCTCCATATCAGTTCCCAGTCTGCCAAGTCTGGTGAGACTCTGAAACAAGTAAAAACAAAAACATTTAGCTTAAAGGAGTCTAGGAGACTTGGTGATCTTCATTTTTTAAAGGTAGAAGCTTATATCTTTGCTCAAGCCCTGGCTGTGTGTGTATCTCTGAGAAATAAGTTTAGAGGAAGCAAAGAGGAAAGCCTTACAGTCATAAATGATTTGTTGGCCAGGGCAAAATCTTATGCTTAAGAATTGGAATACTATTTTTTATTTTCTTCAGGTGTCTGACTGAATGCCAGATACCTGCACATTTGGATGTTAAGAAAACATTTTCTTTATTCTTTTTTTTACACTTGATCTTAGCCAAAAGGCCAAAAAAAAAAAAAAAAAAAAAAAACAATTATTATTCTCTTTTATCTTGTGCCCTCTGCCTTTTAAGATTCGTTTTTTTACCTTTAGTTATGCTTCAGCATGTTTTCTTTTTTGCACAAATATGTATGTATATGTACAATATATATGTATATATAATTAAATACATATACATATATACACATATCTAATTGTATATATGTGTGTATATGTATTGTATGTGTATATATGTATATAATTGTATATATGTGTGCATACATATAATTAGGGCAATAGAATGTCATGTACATTAAAATTTACTTTGTATATTGTTATCTCCTTTGTTTCAAACACTTGTATTTTGGCTCCCTTTTACTTAAAAGAACTTCAGAAGGTAGATTTCATTCTTAATTGTATACAATGGTAGATGCTCAGTAATGACTGACTGCTGAGTAAGAGCATTTTATTGATTATCTTATGCCATATGCAACAATCATGTGAGGCCATACTGTTTTATGAAAATATGCAGATCTTTGCAAGTCAAAATTCTGAATCCATTGTTTGCTGGTTGTAGCCTTAGTTTGTACTTTTTAATTTACTTCACATCATCTGTAAAGTAAGGATATTAGCCTGCATGACTGAAAACATAGACATTATTTGAGCTAGGCATATACTAGTCAAGCTTAGTAGAATATAGAGTTGCTGGTATTAGTATTTTTAGCTTTTATTATTTTATGGCAGTCATAGATTGTGATTATAATATTCATTCTCTTAATATTTCACGTGACAGTGTGTTTCTTTGTTACCCAAGGTTAAGGTGGTTGACTGTGACCATAGAGCCTGAAATATTGCAAAGCTAATTGGCCCACATGGAGTTTGAATCTGTGATCTGTTGTCATTAGCTTCATGCCCTAAGTATTCACAGATATCTGACATATTTTTAATTTGGCATTCATGCAACTCATTAGATATAAGTAAATGAAGTAGTGCCAAGAGTAAAAGTATAGATTTTTAATTATAAATTTATGAAGTTAGCCCTCATATATTATATAAAACTGGCAACCTATAGGATCCACCACTTACCGGAGCTGTGATTTAAACACTTCTTTTCCTTGTTGAGTTATATTTAGGATGGATTACCTGCTCATAGAAATGAAGGGTAGACTATTCATGTGTTGTGAACAGACCTAACTTCTGTGCTACTCACCAGAAAAGGTGCTCTTAGCTTGCAGGGAAAACATGAATGAGCCCAGCAGGATGGATGAAGCTTGAGTAACTCCTAAGAGCTTATTGAATTACAGAGAAATTTAGTTGTCAGAGCATTAGATAGGAGAGAAGTTATAGGGTGCTGTTCAGTGCCAGCAAGCCTGCATTTGGAGAGTGTTTTCTCCTCTGTATAAGCCACACACCATTTTTTCCTAGTCTGCAGTGTGCTTTTTTCACTATATCATGTTAGCTTCCTCTGTAGTTGACCATTTTTCAAATTCACTGTACTTTATTAATATTTTTTGCCCCTCTCTTTTTATACCACATATGGCCAATTTTGGTTTGGGCATAAAAACAGACAAAAAGAAGCAGTATTGGTGGTGGGGAAAGAAAAGGAATTTGGAGTCAGCAAGTTGTAGGTAGTATCTAGTACTGTGAGGTTTGTAAGCCAGTAGATTACTGTATATGATGATAGGAATTTCTGGAATGGTAAGGTTCTGACCACTCATGATGTAACATTAAACCTGATGCAGAGTTGAAAATGTGGGTAAAAGGTGTGTAATATTCATTAATAGCAGATTTGTTTCTTAAAGAATCAGAACATGTGTTATTATTGGCTTACGATTGGGCGCTGTTTTGAATTCTTTGCCATGGAATTCACAAGAGAATTAAGGAAGGGAAGTGAATCTTGTCAGCTTTATACCAGTAATCTATTTCTGTTTTCATAACTGTAAAATGGGCATAATACTACTTATTCTACTTTAAAAATGAAAGGAAAAATTAAAAAAGATTGTCTCGAAATAGAGTTGGTACCTACAGGGAAGGAGAGACTGACAAAGACACACAGAAGGCAGAGTGAGGGTTGGTCAGAGAAG